CTCATGGGCCGCCTCATCGACGCGCTTGCACCCTGGTCTTCTGCGCTCCTCGCCGTGGTCCTTCTCGGGGTGTTCAACATCATTCAGATGGCAGCGGGAGGGCTCAACATTGGCGCCGTCATTGTGGTCGCGTTTGGGTTGAATCTTTTCCGACAGCTGGTGCAGTCAACGTCGGCGACCATTGTGCTCAGGTAGGTGTCCATTTGCCGGCGTTTGGACAAGATCAGAGGAATAATGCTGAATCTCCGGTGGCAGCATTTCGGAAGAAGCACGCGGGCGGTTAGGCGCAATCAATGTGTTCTCGGTGCGTTATGCGGTCGTTCTCTCCCGTTTTCTGTATATTCACGGTCTCTTGCAGATCTTCGCGGGACAGGTACGAGTCAAGAGAATTCTCCGTCCCGTATTAAAATACTGATATCCCGCACAACGCAGCTAACAGGCACCGCTATTGGAACCCACATCTACCTACACTCCGGCTGGCGCGCTTGCGCTGCGTTCTCTGTCGGTCTCTCAGGCTTGCAGCTCATCGTTCTCCTCGTGCGCGGACCGCATTGTCAGCGGTATACGTGGGTCGGGTGGGAGGGCGGTTGGCAGGCGCGAAGGGTCAGAGTGGAGGTACAAACCTGCGACGGAGATGCTGCGACTCCTTCTCCTGAGGTCGGTGAGATGGACACTGGCAGGGAGAAGGAGACGAAAATGGAAAGGGAGGCTGAGATACTCGCAAGGGAGCGGAAGACAATGGATGCAATGGACGGTGTGGGAAGTATGGGCAAGAAGGCCTTATGCAGCTCATAGGCCGTGTTACCAAGTATATGCAGTCCAAAAGGCGATTGCTGCTTGAACATCATTACGAACCGGATTGATTAAGAAGCAACGAGCAGGATGTACGTACATATGTACTCAGTATGTTCAAGTCAGACAGCAGCAGAATAAACAAATAAATGTGTCCGTTCCAACTGGCAGCTTTATGCCGTTCCGTTACCCACGCTCCCAATATCCTCCACAACACTCATATCGCCCGCAACCGCCCCCGTCGGCACGTCGTACGCACACGGCACCGGTGGGCGCACAGCACCAGGCCCGAGCACGGTGACCTGGTCACTCGATTGTGGACTGGGCATCACGCCCGTGCGAATGAAAGTACGCGCGAGATCGCCGGCCGCGGCGGCGGGTGGGGTGTCTGTCGTGGAAGAGATAAATAATTGAACATCGTTGAGGGGAGGTGGAGGGGGAGGAATGATGAAAGAGGAAAGAAAACGCACTGAAGATGCTAGCATGGTCATCCCCGTGGCGGATTACCAGCGTAGAATTCGGCGTGTGCCGCCACGCAAAGGTCGTCAGCTCTGCCGGGAGGCTATAGACACCCCAGATATTAGCATGCAACAACGGTGCAAAATAAATGGGAGAAAAACGCGCACTTCAAGTCAAAATCCGATGTCATCCACATAAGCGGGAGGTCCGTCGATAGGGTCGTGCGCTCCGGGACGGGGAACGGCCACGTCACACACTGGAGGAGAATCTGCCATATCTGCGAGTATACGATGTTCAGGGGGTCGCTCTGTTCAAGGAGGCTCCGTAAGAAAAGGTTGCTCGCAGATAATAAATGACGCACGGTCCGCGAATTAAGACTAAGCTTCTGGAAACCCGCGAAGCTCTTCACGCTTTCGTCCAATTCTTTATACGCTTTCGTCCAATTCTTTATACGTTGGAGTTCAACAATCGCAAAATGACAGTGAAAAGACTCACTGAAATCCGAACACAAAAGCGGCGTGAGCATGCTCTCCCTTATATCAAACTCCGGCACATAAGCGAACAAACTCGCGTCCCCGTGGAGTGACGCGTTCAGCGCCTGGTTGAACAAGGGGAAGTCGGGGTTAGAGCGGAAGAACGTCGAGACGCCCTGCTGCAGGTCGCGCGCGGTCACCGGCGTGATGCAGTTTGTCTTGGGCCCGCAACTGGGCGCGGCGAGCGGCGCGTGGGAGGCTTGCACGAGGAGAGTCTGCCAGGCCTGTATCGCTGCGGCGTCAACACAAATGTTCCCTGGCGACTAGGGAAAGGGTTGACATACCTCCACGACGCTCCCTTTGCCCTTCCCGTAAAATGGACATGCGGGATCCGCGAGGCAAAACGCGTCCGCACGCTGCACTAGTCGGTTCGCGGCGGCGACTTGGAACGTCACCATGTCTTGTGCCGGCTGTTTTTTTTTTTGGTATGTCAGCACTTGTGCGGCCACGAGGGTGAGTACGACGTACCATCCCGTGCGGAATCGCCGCGTCCAACACGAACTGATTGACGCGGTGCGGATAGCGCGCCGCGTATGCGAGTCCGACGAAGGTCCCACTGGTTGCGAGAATGATTGATGATTAGCGCAATGACCCTCAAGAGGACGAGCAAAGCAACGCACTACGAGACGCCGGCGAAGCTGACTTTTTCGTACCCTAGCGCAGCACGGACAGTATCCCAGTCCTGGATAACCTCGATCGTTCCGACGTGTTGCATGATACCCGCTGGCGTGCTGTCTTTGACTGCCGCTGAGATGAACTTCTTCATCGCGGCGTTGTACTGGTCGAATTCGGTCTGCGACGTCGGGCTGGGGGAGTTGTAATTAGCAGTGAGGTATGTGAGGTATGTGGAGATACGAGAAGACAAAAAGACGAGACGTACAAAGCGAATGGTAGGTCGTTGAAGAACACGCCGGACGAGAGGTTGAGAGGATTCGAGAATTGGATGCCGCGAGTATTGATCGCTAGATAAATAACGGATTCAGCAGGGCCCTCGACGTATACGGAGAGTAAGCGCACCCAGAAAGTCAAAATCCTGTAATCCTTCGAAAGCAGTAGAGAGACTGAACGCAGTCTCCCAGGCTTGGGCTGCAGCGTTCTCCCCCGGGCCGCCTTCAATCGCAAATCAACCCCAAGGTCAAGGGTCATTCAGTTCGAAGCAGCATACCAGCATGGCTGCGTCAGAAAGAAAATCAGCAAATTAACGGTGAATGTGTTGACCAGAACGCACTAAAGTATAAGCCCAGAGGACTGCGCAGCGGGGCGGTTCATCGCGAAGCCAATCGTGATGTTGTTGGTCTTCGTGTGGAACGGCTTGGTATAGTCCATCGGGACATCCATCTCACCGCAAAATAATCCGGCGGGGATGGTGCCGGTGAACGTCCCATCATCGGTGACGTTGAGCGCGGATTGCAGCCCGTTCGGCACCTTGTCGTGGCAGTCTACCCATCGGATTGTGCGGTTTGTGCGGTCGGGGCGGTGGTCGGCGGCGGTTGGAGTGACAACCGCAGCGGTAGTACATTCGATGAGAGAGAGAACTAGCGGCAAAAGCAAAATCTGGGGAACCATCGCGTAGAAGAAGAAATTCAAAAGGTGGCGAAGTGAAGGAGATACTTTGCGGAGACTAAGTGGCCTGGTTTATATGTCTATGGGAGGGCAATACCGTACTGCGGACGCAGTCAGCCCGCTAGGTTGCGGACATCTTGGCTTGGCCATCCCGGAAGACATCGGCATTCGACAGGTCCCAATTTCAACGTTTCAACGATGGTGGCGACTAGAGTTTCAGAAAGTCAGCGATGTTTCGAATTTCAATGAGTTGTGGCAGTGGGAACCGGCAACAAGTGCTTACCCTGTTCGGTTCATTTCGGGACCAACGGAGGCATCTGAAGGGAAGAATGTGGAACGGAGAGGCACCACCCGCGCCTGGTGGTCATGGTGGTGGTGGGAGAAAGGCAAAGGCACATCAGCTCCATCAGACTGTGATCTGCGTTCCAGATCTCTGACGATCGGTCTTTGCCTAGGTTCGGATCAAGCCTGCCGTTGCATTGTTTGTTGATGCGGGCGGTATTTAAGGCAAAGCAAAGATTAGCCGGCTCGCCGGCCCGGAGACAGGCTTGCTCCGAACCTACACCACCGTTTTGGGAGTCAAACGCGTGGTCTTGTTCATGGGAAGGTGCCTACATGTGCACAAAGAAAAGGAGAAGGTCGTTGCATTTGGACGTGGGGAGTCGGACCCCAGTTCGCAAGATGCAGCGCCGCACACCACACCCGATGTTTGGCGGAGTTGATGCATGCGTAGAGCAGCGGATTGAATAGGGGCAGTCAGAGTAGGTCTCGGCGGTGGTTTATGGAAGTGTTTCTGAAGTCGTTTCTAATTCAATGCATTGTGGGAATAAACGCCAAAAGCCAGAAACGACTTCAGAAACGCCTGCAGAAGGCTGACGGCCCGTTAGATCTATGAGAACGAGCCGACAAAATTTTTGCATTGACTCAATGTATATGTTGCCTGAAATCTACCTTGAAACTTTGTCGGGCTTGTCGAGGTCGAAACAAGGTTGGTGAGCACGTCCGGTGGTTGTCGGTTCAAAGATGCCGTGCGCTACGTCGGATCGCCGTCCCAATGTGGTTGATTTAATGCCTGGATACGTAAGTATCTGGGTTCTACACTACATCGATTTCTTACATCCCCATTAGGTGTTCGATATCCTTTTATAGTAAGATAGGCCTCATTCATATGCATCTAATGCTGAGTCAGCCGTGATGGCGCTATGAACCCGACGTCGAATCGACATTGCATCAACGCCGCGTCACCATCATCCAGCTCTTGTCGTCGACTTGACCCCGGCGTGTAACGGCAGTGAGACTATTCAGCGATCCTGAGCACATTTCCACCATGTTCGGCAAGCTCAAGTCACAGTCAGCGGCATGGTCTATCCACAACAAAAGGGTAACGATATGGACGGTGCGGAGACCGTTCTACCAAATGTAGCTTCATGATTAATCCCCTTGATTATTGCCGAGGTCGGGGCGGAGTCTAAGCGCGTTGCTAGGTGTAGTATTCCGCACCATCAGGTAGGCTGAGGTGGCGGACATTATGTGCAGAAATATTGAGCTGTTTGTTGTTTAACACCCTTGGTACACGGAGAAGTTGAACTTTTTGCGCTGCCTGGGATTCGCAAGGCGCTGGCCTCTGTCAAAAAGATGGTGCACGAGGTACCATGCATCAAGGGGGAATCGAACCCCCGGCGGGTCGAATTTAGCGACGTTGGCAACGACCCAGGTTACCTCTACCCCATTGATGCCATGGAGGCCAGCGATGTGTAGCGCTCATCGTCAGAATGGCAAATTTCACTAAGTAAGTCGAAAGGGGGAACGGACTTGTCGAAATTTTGTATAATTTTGTACCGCTATGTAATTTTTGAGTTAGATCGGAACGTCATTCCAATCCCGCAAGTAATGGCGTGACCTCGAATAGAGCTAATAGATACTAAGAGTCGGGTCCAGAGCTCAGGAATGTCTATAATCATCTTAGATGTGTTGATAAATGGTGAGGAGCTCGGCTAGGTTTAGCAAGGTGACTAACGCGAAGAGTGAAGCCAAGCCGCATCGAAAGCCAGTGCGATGCTATCGAGAACAATGGGACATACTTGTGGAATGCTGGAAGGTTATAAGCCACACGCGATGCAACTTTGGGCTAGTGATAACCACTATAACTTGACTATAACACGCGAGCGTCAGAAGATATCGACATGAACAGCTGACACGCACTGTAAATCAGAACAAAGGCCTGTCCCCGATCGCTTCTACCACCAACGCCTTGTCCACATTGCGGTAAGTTTTCCTGTAGTTCCAATTGAGTATTTCCGGCACGCAAATATCGTCCAAACTATCTGCGTCCCTGATATGCAATAGGAAATCCTTATCGGAGCTAAACTCGGAGCCGAAGGAATGAAGCTCGCTTTCCTCGGGGTTCTAGGAATAATACTCGGCACCCACTGCGAAGAGGACAAATGCCATCAGGCGTGTTCACGAATGTGAGCGGGCGCGGCCTCCCCTCGATGTTCAAGACGTGGTGAAGTACACCTGGAAAACGGCTGAGGGGGTATCGATTCCACCAGTAAAGGCGCTGGTCGGGGAAGAAAGACAGAGCGTTCGACGAGTGGTGCCAGTTGGAGGTGAACCAGCGGCGCAGCAGTAAGTATGTCTGGAAACGTGGGGAAGCAGGCGGCGATCACGAAATCATTGTGGCAGGGAAGTCTTGGGCTTTCCGGGACGGAGCCATCGTCTCGAGCCTTTTGCCACGCGTGCGTGCGCCCCATTCATTCTCCGAGCTGAGGGTTGGTGAGCGGGGGGGTGTACCTACACGGACGAAGGGTAGCTACACTGTAGACAGGCCAAAGTGGATGGATGCGAGGATATCTCTCGCGTTTTGGCGGCAATCCGTACGCGGGAGAGTAAGGCCAGCATGGTGGTACGAGGAGAAAGGGGCAAAACCATGCCGACAATGTGATCAGATCACGGCGTCTGCCGACCACTCAAGAAGTCGAAAACAGCAAGAATAAGAAACGGGGATGGTGAGCTTGAACAGACGGAGAGATACTATGCATTGGTTCTCGCTAGTGTATGCCTCATGTGGACGAATTGGTGGTCCATGTTTGCAGTCGAGCTTGGAGAAAACGCTGGGATTCAGATGGAAGGGAAATGGGATGGAATACCATGCTTGCACTTGACATTGATCCACGGGCAAGATGGAGGAAATACCACGTCTGGCTCAGTTATTTTCCTGCTGCAACAAGTGTAGCGGTTTGGAGCAATTTAATACTTGCCCGCCAATTTAATACGCAATATCCCCTTGGCCGGCGGCACATACCGTCGAGCGTCCGATTTCAACGCCGTTTTGGGGGTTGTGAAGGGCTTGGTGGAAGAGTGATATCCCGATGCTATTGATTATGTTGCTATCGTGTATGCTGCAGGACCTTTGACCATACCGAAACCCTCGATGAACGGAAAACCCAAAAAAAGTACAAAGACTGAAAGGAAGGATGTAGATGCAGTGTGATGTGGTCGGATATGTGGATGCGGATGAGAAAGCCCAAAGAACGAATGGCGCCAGTAGCCCTGGAAACAATTATAGCCCCTGAACTAAGTCAGCGACGCATAAGGAATGTCGGCCTACCCACTTGCTGCCCACTCACCGAAAGAAAACGTGTGCAAAGCAGCCCCATATCTGTCGCTACGCCTTCCCACGCGGCCACCCACCCTCCACGTCCCTCCACCGGCAAGCCGGGTTCAGCTTGAACTCCGGGTTTTCTTCGGGCACGACCACATGGCGTCCGCTGAAATGCCGGGCAACGCCAAAGAAGACATCGAGCGCCGCGAAAACGACGAGGGTGGAGAATCCCGTCACGCGGAGGACGGTGATGGTGTCGGGGTGGAGCCCGAGGAGCAGGAGGATGGCGGAGGTGAGCAGGAAGGACGTCGTCCCGCTGAAGAGTAGCTCAAAGGCGAGCTGCGTGGTCCGCGTCGCCAGCGGGGTCGACCCTTGAGGCACAAGGGCCATGGTGATGGGAGGGAGGAGTGGAGTCGCTGAGATATCGGCGCTGTCTTATATGTCGCGCAATCTTTGGCTTGGCGTTGATGATGGACGTGCGTCGCGTGCTCAGTTCGAATCCGCCGAGTTCGTTGCGGGTGTCCGGTTGTTAAGAGCTGCTCCCCATATCACGCTGGCTTAGTTTGCTCCAAATAGGCGCAGTGTCTCGCCCTCTTGTTTCTTCTTTTTTTCGTGATGACGAACATCTTGTCTTGGCAGTCAGTCGCCTTGGGCCTTGACTCCAGGGTAGCTCCGGGTCCCACGAATACCGAGACGGTGATTGGCGATGTGGACAACAAACAGGTCCAGGCCGCTCGGTTTGTCGAAAAATGAGAGGAACGGAAAAAAAAGTTCATTCAGTTAGACTTGGGGAGTAGTCTACTTGTGTAGGATGTCAAGAATCTGAGCACCGATTAGCCGGAACAAAATGAAAGAGAATGGGAACGAGAACACACGTCGCCGATGGCAGCCCTTTTTAACTGCTCCAGCTCTTCCCATGGTGGGAGACCATACATTTTAGGAATGCGCGCCCATAAGGCCTGTCGCGCCTTCTCGTGCGAGTCGCGGAGGGCTGGGAGACAGACGGCGCAGAGTCCGGGTAGTCGGTCCCAGTCATCCTCTATCCAGATATCCAAAGGAATGCATGGGGACACATCACATTCGTCCGCCGCATCGTCCAGAGCGGACAATTTCTCTTCAGCACATTGCTCGCTTGACATGCAGCCGTCGATGATGGGTGGGTCGTGTAGAAAGCGCGCGACAGCTCTGGTCTCCTCCCGTTGTAGAGAGGAACCCCGCACAAAGGATATTTGATCGTCATCGCTGAGTCTCCCCTTTCCACGGATAAGAAGCGAAAGATTAGTTTCAATTTCACAGCCCAATCGATAATACACAGTGGGCAAAATCCAGGGAGCTCGACATTGATGGGCCAACTCGATTAGAGGGATGAGCTTGCTTGAGGCAGTATGGATTCTATGGAAACCCGGGCGATCCCAATCTTCCAACATCGTTGGGAACCGTGACGAAAGATGCACAAGTGCGCGACGCCGCAGGTGCTCGACCTCGTACTTGCTGCTCAAACGAAGGACTCCTGCCAGAACTTCAAACGTAGTTCGTACGGGGTACCCTTCGAAGAATCTGGAACGTCATGCTCGGTAATATGTATCATTCGCGGTTATTCAAACGTACGATGAGTCGAAAATCGCCCGAAAAAACACGGTAGCATCCGCTGCGGCATCGGGGATGGTTACCACCGCACACCCGTCCATAGTTTCCGCATCCGAGGGCTGGGGAAGACTGAAGAGGTCGGCGAAAATGGGGGATTGGATAATGAGGACACCGCGCGAGAGGCGGAAGAGCGTTGTCTCCGCTTTCACGATGATGCCGCCGTCCTCGAACCACAGCTGGTCAGCTCGGACAAGATCCGGGGACTGTGTTTCAGTATCCATAGCGCTAAGCAGAGATTCCAGCGGTAGTATGCAATGTGCGAGATGATTTGGAGATGATGGCGGGTCGCAAGAAGGATTTCAAACTCCGACGAGTCACGGTGATATTACAGTCACATCACCGCCGATTTTCCCGCGCTTTGCCAGTAGCCGTGGTTGAACCCTACCAACCCTCCCATTCTACACATACAGGTTCTCTCCTTTGTGCTGCTGTATTTCTCCAGGCCGCTGTCACATTTTTCTTTAAAAAAGATTGTAGGCCATCAGCAAGCCATCAGGCAGGGGTGAAGCACAATTGTCCAATTATTCGGTAACAGAAGAGGAAATGAGAGTAAGGAAGGGAAAGCAAATCGAAAGCACATAAATAGCAGAGAAGGAAGAAAAACCCCTCACGCATGGCGTTGTTTACGCCGTTATATCCTCCACGCTGCTCTCATCGCCCGCGACAGCCCCGGTCGGCACGTCGTACGCACCAGGCACTGGCCCACGCACCCCGCCCGCTTCGGGCCCAAGGACGGTCACTTGCGCGTTGGATTGTGGGCTGGGCATCACCCCCGTGCGGAGGAAGGTGCGCGCGAGGTCACCGGCCACTGCCGCGGGTGGGGTGTCTGTTGTCGAGTTAAGTAAATGCTGGTAGAGGGGAGCGAAGAGGGAAACATACTGTAAATACTGGTATGATCGTCTCCATGGCGGATAACCAAAGTGGAATTTGGCGCTTGCTGCCAAGCAAAAGTCGTCAGTTCCGTCGGTAGGCTACCCAGACACAATTAGCATCCCACCGCAGCGAAAGGTAAATCGCATAAAGACGCACTTCAAGTCAAAATCAGATGTCATCCACATAATCGGCAGGGCCGTGGGCAGGGTAGTGTGCTCCGGGACGGCGAACGGCCAGACGGTGCACTGGAGAAGCATCTGCCAGATTTGCGAGTACACGACGTCCAGCGGGTCACTCTGTTTGCAAGGTTTTTAAGCGCTTGTGCGTTAGCGGATTCGGGGAAAACTCACGCTCTGCGAATTGACGCTCAGCTTATTGAATCCCGCGAACGTCTCAATGTCGTCGTCCAATTCTGCACACGTCGAGATTCAATAATCGTACGAGATGATTGTGACAAAGACTTACTGAAATCCGAACACAGAAGGGGAGTCACCACGCTCTCGCGGATGTCAAACGCGGGCTGAAATGCAAAGAGGCTCGCGTCTCCGTGGAGGGACGCGTTCAGTGCTTTGTTGAATAACGGGAAGTCGGGGTTGGCGCGCAACAGCACGGGGACACCCTGCTGCAGGTCGCGTGCAGTCACTGGCGCGATGCAGTTCTTCCCAGGCCCGCAGCTCGGGGCAGCGAGCGGTTCCTTCATGGCTTGCGCGAGGATGGTTTGCCAGGCCTACGACGGCACGGTATCAACACGAATATCGTTGTGTGAGGATAGTATGCATGGACAGACCTTCACGACGCTGCCGTTGCCCTGCCCATAGAAAGGACACGTCGAATCAGTAAGGCAGAAGGCATCCGCGCGCTGGACTAGCCGGTCCGCGGCGCCAACTTGGAATGTGACCATGTCCTGGAACGGCTGTTTATTTCAGGATCAGCGAGCCATTACTCGGAGTGCTAAAAGAGCACTGCATACCATACCGTGCGGAATAGCCGCGTCCAGAACAAACGCCCCGACGCGGTCGGGATAGCGTGTCGCGTAGGAGAGGGACACAAACGTTCCACTGATCAGTGATAAAGTTGAGTCACCGCGAGAGATGAAGAGGAAAGCTTACTATGAGGGACCCGCAAAGCTGGCCTTCTCATACCCGAGTGCAGCCCGGACGGCATCCCAGTCCTGGATGACTTCGACTGTCCCGACGTGTTCCATGATCCCCGCGGGAGTGCTGTCGTTGATAGCGGCCGAAACAAAGTTCTTCATAGCGGCTTGATATTGATCGAACTCGGCCTGCGATGTTGGGCTATGAGGATTGTTAGCGGTGATTTGTATGGAGATGACAGGACTAACAAGGCGAAAGGTATGTCGTTGAAGAAAACACCTGACGACAGATTGAGAGGGTTCGAGAACTGAATGCCGCGGGTGTTGATAGCTAGATCCCTGATTCAGCTGGGCCCTCGATGTATCCCGAAAAACTCACCGAGAAAGTCGAAATCATCCAATCCTTCGAAAGCCGTGGAGATATTGAATGCATTCTGCCACGCTTGGGTGATGGCATTGAGTCCAGGACCGCCTGCAATACCGCAAATGAGCCCTAAATCGTAACTCTTCGATCGAAAAGCAGCGTACCAGCATGGCTACCGCGATAATGATTAGTCAGTTAAGAGAGGATCGTGTGAAAGGAGACGAACTGGAATATGAGACCGGCAGACTTCCCTGCGGGGCGATTCATAGCAAAACCAATGGTGATGTTGTTGGTGGTCGCGTCGAACGGTTTGGTATAGTCCATCGGGACATCCATCTCACCGCAGAACAAGCCGGTAGGGATGGTCCCGGTAAATGTGGTCCCGGTGACGTTCAGGGCAGTTTGAAGCCCGTCCGGCACCTTGTCATGGCAGTCGACCCATCGGATCGTCTGGTTGGTACGGTCGGCTCTTGGAATGACGGCGGCGGTAGAACAGGCAAAGGACACAAAAAGCGGGCACAGAAAAAAAAGTTGACGACCCATTGTCAGAAAGGCAGAAAAGAAACAGACACAGGGGGTTTGGTTGATACAATGGGCAAGGCGCTCACCTTTTATACTACTGGAGTAAAGCTGCCCTCCACAAACGTATCCGATTTGGGACTGCGGACGCAGTCGCCCCGATAACTTACGGAGTGACGGACATGATCAAGAACTTGAAGAACGAATCGTTGTGGTTCGCCGAAGGTGTCAGCTTAGCGACAGCTTTCGGGCACCGCGAGAGCCCTAGAAACGCGAAGAAGAATGGGCTTGGGCTTCAGTCAGCACCGTCCTGGGCATTGTCGAGAACGTGGTCGGAAGAGAATTTCCACGAGGCAGTGCACCTTGAGCCATCATGACCATCAGATTTGACGGGCACAGCTGAAGCACCGAGAGACATGGGTCGTTACTAGACACCAATGGCAGTGAAATAGTCCCATAACTGAGACCGTGAACTTCATGGGAGAGCTGCACGAACGCCAAGGAAAAAGAGAGCGCTGGAACGCCAAGGAAAAAGAGACGGTTATCCCAAGGTCGCGCCCGGAATCGAACCGGGGTTGCCAGAAGGAAGCAAACGAGTACGTTCGTATCAGAATCTGGAGTGATAACCGCTACACTACGCAACCGGTGGCCACGGGTTGTCTGCACCCGTCGGGCAGTGATGTATGCAGTTACGGAGTTGGACATTGAATCAATTGCAAGTTTGCAACCATACACGTACGCAATTACCCTTGAGAAGATGGCTACGCCGATGGCAACACTTGCGAGATTCCACGCAAAGCCTGAACCATCGTCTCCTCCGTAAATCGCCGCCCCACAATCTGCAGGCAAAGTGGCGCTCCCACAAAGGCCGTTGGTTCGTCTACATTAGATTCAAAATTCAATGCGTAGTTTTTCTTTCCGAACAAGACTCACACGCAGCCGAAATTTCCTCATCCGCTTCGCTCATCCAGGTCCGAGGGACGGAATCATCCTTGCTGTCAAGGGCTGGGTCAACGTGTAATCCTGTTGGAAATACCGCAGCGGGATAGTCGACGAAGTTCCACACGTTCGTGTATCTGGGACATCGTTAGGCAGGCTCTACGACGGGGAGAAATTAATGGTACCCCCAGTATTTCGATGTGCCCAGGAGCGGAGCAGGGCCAGGGCCAACAGGGCAGAGAACAACATCCACGTTCTGCGAGTTGAAGTGCTGGAGATACTCTGCGCGCAGAGCCTCTCGTCGTAGGTTCAACTGTATCAATCGATCAGCCGATCGAACCCAACCCCGCGACGGAAGACAGAAGAAGCGCTTACATCCCAGAGCTCGTGCATGTTGTGATCCTTGACCTTCGGATGGGTAATAACCCACTCCGTCAGAGGGAGGATCGGCTCCCCAGTGACGGCTGCTCTTTCGCGCACGCTCGCGCCGCCATCGACAAAATAGAGCTCATGCTACGCTCACGTCAACCTATAGCCCCGGACTCGTATAGGATACCACGTACCGCTAACTCCGACGCCTCAAAATGCTTGAACGGCGCATACTCTACGACCTCAATGTCCGGCACCTTTGTCAAGGCATCGACGAGCGTCTTGAGCGCACGGCGGATGGGCGGTAAGGGCTGCACAACGCCGTCGTGCCACATAACCCCGAGGCGCATCCGTCCGTTCGAGCCCGACCAGCTGGGAGGGGTGCTGATTCGCCATGGGAGCGGTACGAGATCGTACTCGCGCAGCCACGGCTTGGAACCGATGACGACTGAGAACCACATATCTAGGTCGCGGAGGCTGGGGAGATTCATTTAAACCGAGAATCGATACGTAGGGTGAAACCGGACTCACCTCCGACATAAGGGTCCGAACGTCTCCACAATGGAATTCGCACCAGGCACAGGCCCCGATCCTGCGCCCCGGGGAACACGCAGCGTGGTTGGCTCTGTTCACGCCTTGTTAACTCACAAGATCAACCAACAATTGACCTAACTTACTTAGCGTCCACAAACCGCACGCCGCAGCAGGGCTGCGCAGGCTGCCTCCGATATCGCTGCCGATACTGAGCGGCGAACCACCAAACCCGACGAGGGCGCAGCACCCGCCTGAGCTGCCGCCCGCCGTGAGCGAAGTATTGTACGGATTCACGACTTGGCCCCAGAAGCAGTGCGCCTCGAGGTGCATGCAGGACTGCGGGACGTTGGTTTTACAATAGAATACTGGAGAGATGTCAAATCAAGTGTGGATAATAGAGTAGTCATTGATGGTTCGTACCAGCGCCAGCGTGGTATAAAACCTGCGCAATGCTACCGTGCTTGGAGGCAGGCGGGTTCAGAGTGTCACCCGAGAACCCCGAGGTCGACTTGTGGCCGGCTAGATCCATATGATCCTGCAGCGCAGGGTCAGTCTCGAGGAGATTCAGGGAGAAAATCTTACCTTGATGCTGATTGGTAACCCTTGACGGAGGGAACCGGATAAGAATCGACGTAATTCGAAGGATGGATTTGCGAACCATGCAATGGACCCACGAGTCTTCCGGTCCTCTCGTAAGCGTCGTCGAGCTCGCGCGCTCGCACCAGAGCCTCGTCGAGGAAAAAATCGGTTAGGCAAGATAATAGCTGATGAGCGATGGCTGCCCGCTTGGCAAACGCCGTTACAACTTGCACTGCCGTCAATTGTCGTGCTTTGATATGCTCCAAGAGCTGCGACGACATCAAGAAGAGAGTAAATGTGTACGAAGTGGAAGCGCTACCGCGGTCGCATCCATGCTAGGAGCGGTGATATTTAATTCTTCGGTGGTCAAGAGACCTGGCTGCTCAGCCGCCTGGCGCACATCCGAGCCTGATGGGTAGTTTGAGAGGACGGATGGTGACAGCCGGAGGGAAGATGGGATGCGCGAGTCACGCTCTGCGACGGCGTCCAGAGCAACCTGCACCAGGAAAGGCGGTGAGTCCGGCGAGACGTTCAACCAGGAGCGGCATACCTGAGGCCAGTGGATGGGGGACTCCATGAGGGTGAGTGGGAAAGCAACCTAACTTTGGAGTATACATCCCGAGTCATGTGCGGTGTAGAGAGTCTTTCTAAGCAGATAAGCAGACCTTCGTCGAAGCAGCGTCACAAGGCCAGCAGTTAAAGAAAGCTAATTTGGCCATTGGCAGCGAATACCTGTGGTCGTAAAAAGAACAGATAACAAGCTTAGCTGCTTAAGCCTATCGAGTCGCGAATCGTTCCAGACCAGTGAGCCGTTTAGATCTTCTGCGATACACATTCGAGGTGCGTAAGTGTTTCCGTACGTCAAAGTTGAGCAGACTCTCCCTCAGTCTTGGATAGAGCGCAAGATTGTGGGGGGAAGAAACAAGACAGTCGCCGCGATCGCACCTGATGCCAACACTGATGCCAATACCACATCGGCCCGGAGCGCCGGCTCAATCATCAGATTTCTGAACAACTGGTCATGGCCAAGCCATGGCCTTGTTTCCACCAGGAAATATTTAGGAGGGCATTATTAGAGAGCGCCTGGGGGCGAGGACCTGGGCACAAGGGCCTGGGTAATTAACGACAACATTTTCTTGGCCCGCCAAAGTTCCAGGTACCGGCGAAGTTCGATCAGCATAATTCAGCCTCGTATTCTAGAGCAGCAATAGAGAAATCTGAAAAGGGGTTTGCGCCAAGGATTCACACAAAGGCGTTCCCGCGGAATGCACAATCAGAACACAAGCTGGCCCCTTTCGATTATATCGCGATCGAAACTCCCCGCGAACGGCGCAGCTTGAAGTTCGTCCAGATTTCCAGAAGCGGGATATGTATACCGTTTCTATTGCTCTCTTCCTACTCTCACCCAGTAAAATAATTTCTATCCTCAGTCAGTGCTCGCGGCGGCTGCCCTTACCCCTCTAGCCCAGCATTTAGGGTTTCGGCATTTGGCAGCTCCTGTACACACGTCCTTGCGAAAAGGAGGCCGCAATACATTTCCTAGCTCTGGCCTCGATCAATACAGTTCGTAACTATAAAGCTTATTGGGCCCAACCGCGTTGTTTGCGCCGTCAACCATCAGCCTCTCCCAACTTGTACTCACACCATGTCAGCGTTGGACCCCATCATCGGGTGCGTGTGTCGCTGTGTTGCAGTGGTTTGTTTTTCTGATGCTTTTTGTAGCGCGCTCCTCCTTGGTACCTGGGGAGCCTCAATCCTTACCGGTGTCGTTATTGTTCAGGCCTATACCTATTTCACCTCGTTCCCGGACGACCCGTTGCACCGCAAAGCCCTCGTCAGCCTCGTGCTCGCCCTCTGCGCCGCCGCCTTGGCCGCGGATTATGCGACCACGTATTATGTGTGTCCGTATATCCTTTTCAAACGCGCGTACTTATGCCCCTTGTCCCGCAGCCCGCAGTGACATTCTGGGGACAGATCGAAGGACTGACGACAATCGTGCGTACCTTTCTCTCCGAGATCCCATACGTTCGAATTCTTACTTCCAACCGTCCGTAGTTCTGGTCGGTACGTCAGCTTGATTGACTGGATATTCAGTTCCGAGTAACAAACCGACGTGACGCACCCAGCTCCCAATGGCCAGCTTTGTAAACACGTTGATCGCCTGCATCGTCAATTCCTACCTCATCTTCAGGCTGTACACACTGTGCGTCCGCTACCCCCGCAGAGTATTAATCCGTATTCAACGTCAAATCGTCTTTCTTAGAACAAAGAACATTTGGGTTATGCTGACCTTGTACGCGCTGTTGACATTAGCCGTGAGTTCCAACGAGCTTCGTTCTCCACCTGTCAAACTTATCTTCTGTTTTCCCTTCACAGCTCGGGGGCCAATTGATCGTGTTCATTCTCCTGTTGAGGAAAACCGATATCACAGAGGTGTGTCTCGAGTGGTTTCCATCGTATTGTTCGCATTGACCCATGGAAATAGAGACACACGGAAACCATCGGCGCAATCATCGACTTCATTGCGATGGCCACTGTTGGTGCGTTCCTTCCCTCCCCGCACTTTCGCCATATCCTGAAGCTGATTGGATTTTGCAGATTTGTTGACCGCCGGAGGATTAATCTGGAAGCTGCGTACCATGCGATCGACTTTCGCCCCCACCAACACGTACGTTTTCCTGCGTCCATCCCCCCAGGTTATTGACCACCACTTCTTCGTCAGGTTCCTCAACCGTGTAATGCTCGGTGCAATCCAAACCGGCTCCGTCACCGCCGTCTGCTCCCTCCTCATCCTCGCCACCTTTTTGAACAACCCCGACAGCGACGGTGCGTCCTGCATATGCTTCCGCCGTGTTCTTAATCTAACTCGCCTTGCAGTATCCACCTTCTTTATGTTCCAATTCGCGCCGCTCTATTCCCTCACGCTCCTCTTCAACTTCAACCTCCGGCGCCCGAACGGCCTGCGCTCGGGCACTTCGAAGACGTCTGAGAGCCGGAACGGGAACACCGGCCTCATGCGCTCAGAGGGGATCCGTAAGTTCCTGCGCTCTTCCAATCAAACCCCCAACACTGACGCCGGCCACAGATGTTCACCGCACGGCCGTCGTCACCATGGATCCCATCGATCCGGCTGTGAGCGCCGCGCAGCGCAGACTGGTATGCCTTCGATCCATCTAGATTTCTGCGCCTAGTCTCACCGCCGTCGTGCCTTCAGGACGCACTT